TGTGGACCTCCTCCAAGGCCAGCAAATCCTTTCTTAGATAATGGGCCCAAAACTGCTCAAAATATTCCAAATGTGGTCTGACCAGAGACTTATACAGCCTCAAGAGTAAATACATCCCTGCTCTTATTTTCTTGTCCACTTGAAATGAATGCTAACATTTCATTTCTTTCCTAAATTCCAACTCAACCTGCATGTTAACCTTAAGAAAATCCTGAACTAGAACTCCTAAGTCCCTTGTGCTTCAAATTTCCAAAGGCTTTCCTCATTTAGAAAATAGCCTATTCCTCTGTTCTTCCGATCTCACACTTTGTCATATTGTATTCCATTTGCCACTTTATTGCCCACTCTCCTAGCCTGTCCAAGTCCTTCTGCAGCCTCCCCACCTCCTGAACCTCTCTCTCCATTTATCTTTGTGTCATCTGCAAACTTAGCAACAATATCCTCAGTTCCTTTGACCAGATTAACATTACATTATACATTGACAATGTATAATGATCCCTGTAGAACTCCACTAGTCACCGGCTGCCATCCTGAAAAAGACCACTTTATCCATACACTCTGCCTTCTGCCAGTTAGTCAATCCTCTATCCATACCAGTACCTTGCACTATTAACTCTTACCTTATTTAGCAGCCTCCTGTGTGGCATCTTGTGAAATGCCTTCTGGAAATCCAAATAAATCACGTCCACTGGCTCTCCTTTGTTTAACTTGCTCATTACCTCCTTGAAGAATTCTGTCAGCCATGACCTCCTCTTGATGAAGCCGTCCTGGCGCAGCCCTATTTTACCATACATTTCGAAGTACCAGACAATCTCATCCTTAATAATGGACTCTAAAATCTTACCCACGACTGAGATCAGGCTAACCAGCCTATAGTTGCCCATCTTCTGCCTCCCTACCTTCTTAAACAGGTGTTACATTTGCCATTTTCCAATCCTCTGGGACCCTCCCTGACTCCAGTGATTTCTGAAAGATCACCACCACACCTCCACAATCTCCTCCACTATTTCTTCCAGAACACTGCTGTGCAGTCCATCTGGTATGGGTGATTTATTCACCCTCAGACATAGAAACACAGAAAATAGGTGCAGAACCCTTAAGAGTACTGATAGGCAGAGGGATCTGGGTGTACAGGTACACAGGTCACTGAAGGTGGCAACACAGGTGGAAAAGGTAGTCAACAAGGCACATGGCTTGCTTGCCTTCATCAGCAGGGGCATTGAGTTTAAAAATTGGCAGGTAATGTTGCAGTTTTATAGAACCTTAGTTAGGCCACATTTGGAATATTATGTTCAAAGCCAGTGGTGGCTTTGGAGAGGGTACAGAAAAGATTTACCAGGATGTTGCCTGGTATGGAGGGCATTAGCTATGAGGAGAGGTTGGAGAAACTTGGGTTGTTCGCACTGGAACGACGGAGGTTGAGGGGGGACCCGATAGAGGTTTACAAGATTATGAAGGGTGTGGACAGACTGGAGAGTCAGGAGCTTTTTTCCAGGATGGAAGAATCAGTTACCAGGGGCCATGTGTTTAAGGTGCGAAGGGCAAGGTTTAAAGGTGATGTATGAGGCAAGTTTTGTTTACACAGAGGGTGATGGGTGCCTGGAACTCGCTGCCGGGGGAGGTAGTGGAAGCAGATACTATAGTGACTTTTAAAAGGCAATATATGAATAGGATGGGAATAGAGGGATACAGTCCTCGGAAGGGTATGGGGTATTAGTTGTGATGGGCAGCATGTCGGTGCAGGCTTGGAGGGCCGAAGGGCCTGTTCCTGTACTGTAATTTTCTTTGTTCTTTGTTCTGAGTATGCCATTCGGCCCTTTGAGCCTGCACCATCATGTAGTACGATCATGCCATCACAGTATCCCATTTCCACCCTGTCCCCATACCCCTTGATTCCTTTAGCCGCAAGGGCCATGTCCATCTCCCTCTTGAATATATCTAATGACCTGGCCCCAACAGCTTCTTGTGGGAGATATTCCACAGGTTCATAACTCTGTGAGTAAAGAAATTCTTCCTCATCTCAGTCTTGAATTGTTTATCCCTTATTCTTAGACTGTGACCCATTGTTGTGGATTTCCCCAACATTGGGAACATTCTTCTGCATCTAGCATGTCCAGTCCGATCAGGATCACCTATGTTTCTATGAAATTCCCCCTCGTTCTTCTAAATTCTAGCAAATACAAGCCCAATCAATCCAGTCTTTCCTCATATATGTCAGTCCTACCATCCTGGGAATCACTCTGGTGAACCTTCGCTGGACTCCTTCATTAGCAAGAATGTCCTTTCTCAGACTAGGAGACCAAAACTGCAGACAATACTCGAGGTGTGGCCTCACCAAGGCCCTGTATAACTGTAACAAGACATCCTTACTCCAGTACTCAAATCCTCTTGTTATGAAGGAGTGCATGCCATTAGCTTTCTTTACTGCCTGCTGTATCTGCAAGCCAGCCTTCTGCGACTGCTCCACCACAACATCCAGATCTCGTTGCAACCTTACCTTTTCCCAAACTACCACCAAAGCAGATAACCTCATATTTATCCTCACGTTATATTGCATTTGCTAAGTATTTGCTCACCCAGCCAGACTGTCCAAGTCACTCTGCAACCTCTTAGCATCCTCCACACAGCACACACTGCCAGCCAGCTTAGTGTCATTTGCAGATATGGTATTCAATTTCTTCCTCCAAATCGTTAATGTATGTTGTGAACAGCTAAGGTCCCAGCACTGAACCCTGTGGCACCCCACTCATCACTGCCTGCCACTCTGAAAAGGACCCATTTATTCCAACTCTCTGCTTCCTGTCTGCCAACAAGTTCTCTGTTCATGTCAATACATTACCTCTGATACTATGAGCTTTGATGTTTCTTACTAATCTCTTATGTGGAACCTTGTCAAAAGCCTTTTGAAAGTCCAGATACACAACATCTGCTGATTCACTATTGTCTAGTCTATTGGTCACATCCTCAAAAAATTCCAGATTTGTCAAGCATGATTTCCCTTTAGTATATCCATGCTAACTAGGACCAATTCTGTCACTGCTTTTCAAATGCTCAGACTTTCAGCTTCCCCAGCACTTTCTCCTCAGTGAGGACCACTACACTCACCACTGCTCCCTAACTCTCTTGAAGTTCTGGTATGCTGCTCGAGTCTTCCACATGAAGACTGATGCAAAGTACCTCTTCAGTTCCTTCAGAGATAGTAGGAACTGCCAATGCTGGAGAATCTGAGATAACAAGGTGTAGAGCTGGATGAACACAGCAGGCCAAGCAGCATCAGAGGAGCAGGAAAGCTGACATTTCGGGTCTGGACCCTTCTTCAGAAATGGGGTATTCAGTTCCTTCGCCATTTCTTTGTTCCCCATTAGAAATCTTCCAGCTTCATTTTCCAGTGGTCCTTTGACCATTCTTGCCTCCCTCTTACCTTTTAGATACTCTTGCAGTCTTCTTTTATATTACTGGCTATCTTGCTCTCATATTTTATCTTTTTACCCCATTTTTGCCTGTTTAGTTGTCCTCTGCTGCTTTTTAAAGGTTTCCTCCAGCTTCCCCCTAATTTTTACCACATTGTGTTCTTCATTGTTTCCTCTTTTGCTGTCCCTGACTTCCCTTGCCAGCCATGGTTGCCTCATCCTCCCCTCACTATGTTTCTTTTTCGCTGGGACGAATTTCTGCTGCATCTCCCAAATTACCCCAGAAACACCTGCCGTTGTTGCTCCACCATCTTCCCTGCTAGTATGCTCTTCCAATCAACTCTGGCCAGATCCCTTCTCCTGTTTTTGTAGTACCTTTACTCAATTCTCATACTGTTACATTTGATTCCAGCTTCTACTTCTGAAACTGCAGGGTGAATTCTATCATACTATTGGCCACACCCTCAGTCCTGTGTTGACTGCCTGCTTCTCATAGTTGCCCCCCTATTTGCTGTGCCTTAAGTTAGATTCCTGACCCTTTCTATGCTCTGTTTTATTATTTCTTTTGAAAACTTTAATAATCTTACTAAGCCCTACCCACTTTTGTGGAGCTGTACCATGTACCATTGAGTGAAATGTGACTGGTGAGAATAAACAGCTAAGTTATCATCGGCTGCAAACGGTTCCAAGTTTTGCATAGTGCTGATTGTAAGATCTGATAACGTGCTGAATTGTCTCCACACAGGGACATCATACCAATGTCCCATGAATTTGAATCTGTTTCTCCCACAGCAATCTTTGAGCCATGCGTTTACCTCTTTAATCTTGTTGACCCTGTGCCATTAGCGCATGTGGTAATCTGCTTCTTGGTTCTGCTTTGTAATTTAGCCCTAGCTCTCCCTCACCTGTGGTGTTATGCATTGTCCTTAATGGGCTTTGTATGTACATTAATCAGTTGGAATATGGGTGATTTACTTGTGGTGGTAAACAGATAAAAGTACCACAAATAATTTTGGTAGTAGGAAGACAAAAGCCTTTCAGTTGTGCATAATAACGCTTGTAATAAAAAGGGAATCAGCAAAGAGTAGCTTACATATTGTTACTGATTAGTACAGTGGAGCAGTGTTCTCTGATTAGCAGTGTAAAATGGAATCATGTTTTAGAATAGGTCTTTTCTAAGTTGATCCTCACTGCCAGCAACTGTCAAGCTACCTTGAATTTCTTAGCATCTGACTCCACCCAAGTCTCCTTCCATTTTTCCTTGTATAAATCTATAATCAAATCCCTCAAACTTCCTTTGCCACCAAATCCTCATTTGGCCTCCATGTTTCTAATTACCAAACAGATGCATATAGATTAAAATAAATTCTGAATAGTCTTAACAGTAGGTGTCCCTCATAAAAGTCAATAAGTGTTTATGTTCATTTCTTGATGGGTAAAGCAGTTACTAATGCATTAGTGCAGTTACTGTGGTGTCTTTAATCTCAGCCTGTTTCAAAAGAAAATCATTGCTGACATGCCTAATGAGCACTTCTCAGTTTTAAGTTTTAAAACCTCTAATGCAGCACTCTGATTTTTATCTTTTCTCAGGCTTACGCAGATATACTGCAGGCACAAGCTACGGAGAGTGTGATGCGTCCCATGCAGAAGGCCTGCTATGGAATTGACCTGACAGCAAATAAACTAAATGACTTTAATGAAGAACAGATTGGACAGTTACACACACTAATGCAAGAAGCTACAAAACCAGTTCAATAATGAAGATGACCCTTATCACAAGAAGTAATTTATTAATTACCACAATAATGTGCAGTTAACTGGAGTTGTACTTGTTATATCTGCTTTCTATGTATTTTGTTTTCTAGAAATAATAGTCCAAAGATTTGAAGTGTGATTGTCTTGTATTCAGCAAAAGTTTAACAGCCCGTTTGCTTTCAACATGGTAAATTGTGAACAGATAGTAATATTCGCAATATTTAATATTTCAGAAAGATCAATAAAATTATTTTTCAATAATAAATCCCTTGAATACGGAACCAAATCTTATGTAAACTATTTTTAATGACAATACATGTTGAGCAATTTGCAATTTTGATAAAGTATGCAAATCAGTTTTGATCAATGCTATTAAATCACTAAATAATTAATATTGGTTGCAATTATCACGAGTACTATGTATTATTTGGTTTGCCAGTGTTTAAGAAAAAAATTCAAATTTAGTAATTATTTTAAGTTTTATAAAGTATTGCTTTTGAAATAGAGGCCATGCTGCCTGCACCCATCCTTCGCTTTCCTGATGCAGTTTTTGGGAAGCCATATTCTTGAACTGCTATTTTTTTGTGTGACACAGGCATTCCCACATCACTGTTCAGTTCAAAACTTGTAACTCCCTAAACTATCAGTGGTGAAGAAGCAATTTTATGTTTCCAAACGAGGATGGTGTGTGACCTGGAAGAGGTGATGGTCTCATGTCATAGAGCTGTACAACATGGAAACAGACCCTTTGGTCCGACTCGTCCATGCCGACCAGATATCTTAAATACATCTAGTCCCATTTGCTAGCATTTGGCCCATCTCTCTCTATACCTTTCCTATTCGTGTACCCATCCGGATGCCTTTTAAATGTTATAATTGTACTAGCTTCCACCACTGCTTCTGGCAGCTCATTCCATACGTGCACTACCCTCTTCTTGAAAAAGTTGCCCCTTTTATATCTTCCCCTCTCACCTTAAACCTATGCCCTCTAGTTTTGAACCCTCTGCATGCATCTCTTCCATGCTCAAACATGGTGTGTACGGGGGAATCCATGGTGAACACCAGTTCACTGCATGGAACGGTGTAGTGAAGCGTGGAGTAGAGAGGTTTGTAGTGATTTCATCATTCAAGAACTTCTAACTATAAACTTCCATCCATCATACATGTCTGTATGCCACAAGCAGGATTATTGCCTGTTATTCCTGGCCAGTCCAGCTCTTCCACTAATAAAACTACCTCATACATTGCTTCCACCTCAGCAGCTATGATGAATCTCAAGTCAAGAACTCCTCCTCTGCGCCTCCTTTCACAGAAATTGCAGATCTGCTTCTGTTACATGACAAAGTGCAGAGTCAGTAATATGGCAAGTGACACCTAACTGTTTGTGTATGAATCCCCAATACACATTTACTGCTGACATTCAAATGTTGTGTCTAAGTTCACATAAAATCCAAATAGCCAAACCCTTTGAATTCAATGACAATGTGACACTTAAGCTGATCATAGATTCACTCTTGTAGCATAGGTGACCACTTGCTCATATGCATTAATGCTTACTACACAAGCAACTCCTGTTGAAGTTATGATACTGGAACTGGTCATCAATTGATTTCTTATATTGGCTCCTATTCAGTATGTGATCCATGGTTGCTCACCTACGCCACTTCAATTGAGGTTGTCTTAATCTGGCAGGAGGATCTTCTTGTGCCATCATCCAGAAAGAGCACCCCCTGCCTTTCCCTCACTGCCCGGAGGCAAATGGAAGCATTGTTAAACCACTGTGTTACTCTGTTTCGCTGGTCACCCATCTCTAACATCTATGACCTTCCGAAATAGTGAAACAGCCTGGCAGTGATGTACAGACTCCATTGTTGAACAGGAAGCTCTGTAATATACCATGCGTAGTTGCAACAATGTCAGTTGATGGCAGTATTCATCTAAAAGCCTCCCCCTCCCAAATAAATTACACATGTTTTTCATGCACCCCACTGGCATTAGAATTTTAATTATAGTTGTTTGGAGAAAAGACAAAAGCATAAAAATTGAAAACAGTACTCAGTTTGGGTCACAATATTGGGAATGATATGGTGTTAACAAAATCTTGGCCATTGGGAAACTTTCCTGTCAGAAATACATATTTTTCTGGTGTTCAATTTTTAAAAATATACTCCATGGAACTTGTTGGAAAAAACATGTTATAAAATGGTAATATATTCCAGAAAATGTTCCTTCTTGCAGTATAGTATCAATCCATACACCAAATTTGCTGCCTATGTTCAACTCCTTTAGCTAAAAATAAAAAAAATGCTCTTCTTAAATGACTCACTAGCTGTTATTATCCACTCTGATTAAAATGTACCCTGAACAGCAGCATTCTATAAGCCTATTAAATCTGAAACATACAAACAATGACTTATGCTTCTAAATCTAGTCATAATAGATCAGCCCATGATTTACTTTCTGCCCCTTAAAACTGAAAATACTGACCATAATTTATAAGAGTCATAAATCAAGATTATCTGTATGATGATTTGTTATATGAAAAGTTGCAAGAAAAAGATTTCTTAATGAAATGTATTAGAAAATGTGGTAGTGGAAGCATAAATATTCTCTCTGTGACAAGTGTTATATTTTGACTCAGTTTCTGCACAAGAAAGGAATCATGCAAAAACTGAAGGCTGTTAGCTTCAACAAGTTGAATGCATTTTCAAATGGACCTTTTATAGAAGATGAATAGGAAATCAAAAAAGATCATTAGGATATTTAAACACAAAATATTCAAATACAACTCACTTGTTTAAATCTACATAGGCTTTATATGGACTGTATGTTCAGTAGTATTTCTGAACATGCTGATTTTTGGAATAATACAGGCAACCATTGCCATAATTTGATGTCTCAAAGCCTGCAACTCATATTTCATGACTAACTGTTCAACTACTACAAATCAAAAATAATTAAATATTTGTATGAAACATTAGTTGGAGCTTTGTTTTTATGCTACATATGCCATGTTTGCCCATGATAACAAAATCTTAACTTCATAAAATAAAGTTTGAAATATCTATTTCCTGGTTTTGTGATTCCAGCTAATGGTAACACTGGTCAAGACAGATCCCAAAATGCAAACTGGCTTGATAGACTGTGAGTTTTATTTTTGTTGTTTGTTTACTGTGGTGGTCAGTGAACGTATTCACAAGAGGTTGCCAATGTATATTTGACAAATGAACATCAATGTTAATTATGTACAGAAGGAAAACAAAACATGAATTATCTTACACTATAAAAGAACTATTTGAAATGGCCTTGTCATATAACAGAAATAAAGATTCAAACTTTTTACCTTGAACAACAACTGTAGGCTTTTATTCTGAATTTTCCTGGTCCATCAAGTTTACTCTGGATATCAATAAACCAAGGCAGCTCTAACAATGGAATATACCCAATGTTTTTCATTAAAGAACATACACTACAAAAAAAAATAAACTTTTAACCATATAATGCTTATAATCACAAGTGAACCCTTTTATGTCGGCTTGTCTGAATATCAGACCAGAACAGATGATGAACATGCTCTGCCTCAACTTCTAGCCTTTGATCAGATGAACTCTTGCCAGCTGATTTTGTTGTGAGACAAGGGTTTTTATGCTCTTTCCATGCATTTACGCTCTTGACACTGTTGAGTCTCCTGCAAATGATCAGTTTGACAACTGGTAAACATCACAAATGTGTCGTGATTTCCATGTTAGTTTGATCAATTAACTTATTAAGGCATGCTTATGTCTCCTTGGTAAGATGCTTGTCACTTACTTTTAATGAACTCTGACCACAGCTTAGCTAACTTTCACTGTTCACCAATTTTACACCATCCAACAAACCACATATTTACGCAGCACAATTCTATGATAATCACAAATTTAGCTGATGAATACTCCACATTATCTCACATAGTTCAGCGTCTGCTTTAAACAAATCAAGCTTTTCTAGAGTAACAGTGACAGCTCAGTCTATAACAATGCTTGATATAAACAAACATATACTCATAGAGATTTGAAGTCATAGAGACGTACAGCATCGAAACAGGCCCTTCAGACCAACTTGTCCATGTCGACTAGATATCCTAGATAAATCTAGTCCCATTTGCCAGTATTTGGCCCATATCCCTCTAAACCTTTCCTATTCATACAGCCATTCAACGCCTTTTAAATGTTGCATTTGTACCAGCCTCCACCTTCCTCTGGCAGCACATTCCACACACACACCACCCTCTGTGTGAAAATGTTGTCCCTTAGGTCCCTTTTAAATCTTTCCCCTCTCACCTTATACCTATGCCCTGTAGGTTTTGACTTCCCCACCCTGCGGAAATGACCTTGTCTATTTACCCTATCCATGCCCCTCACAATTTTATAAAATTCTATAAGGCAACCCTTCAGCCTCCGACAGTCCAGGGAAAATTGCCCCAGCCTATTCAGCCTACCCCTATAGCTCAAACCCTACAGACCTGACAGCATCCTTGTAAGTCTTTTCTGTATCCTTTCAAGCTCCACAACATTCTTCCTACAGCAGGGAGACCAGAATTGCACACAGTATTACTAAAGGATATTGGTGAACCAATTGTATTCTTATGACAGTCTGAAAGCTCCAGGACCAGTTATGTTAACATTTTATTTTTTACTGCAACCTTTCTTTACAGATTTCCATTCAGTGCAGTATAATGCTTTCAGTAATGTTCTCAGCATAATGTTTTCAGTATTTTCCATCTAACATTTCACTTCTTGAAGGATGCTACAGTTCTGTTTTATTTTGCTGCTGCGAATATATTTTGCAGTAATCTTAATTGCATGCTTGTGGTGGGTCAGTACTGATCATTTTAATGGACTAGATTTTTCTATCAAGTTAATGGTGAGGCTAATGGCATTTGCTGCTATTTATTAGCAAATGGTACAGCAGTTTTATGTGAGGAGTAGATGCAAGGTTAGATGCCAATATCTTTTTCTGTTTGTTCATGGGATCTGGTCATCACTAGCATGGCCAGCATTTATTGCCCATCGCTAATTATATTTAAGAAGCTGCTGTAAAAGGAAACTTGGCAAATTTATGCAGTGTATCTTTTAGGTAGTTCACATGGCAGACACTATACAGGTGGCTCTGCAAATGTTGTACCATCAGCTTTGAAAGCGTGGTCTTACTGTTTGCCTCATCATTGATGTGAATTGAAGAACTTGATATTCTGGCTGCATTATACATATAAACTAAACACATGCAAAAGCCCCTGCTTAGTAACATACTCATTTTTGATTCAAAAACAAAACGCTGCTGAAAGTGGTAACTGAAATAAAAGAAGAACATGACGACCATAACAGGTTTGCCATCTCATTCTTTCAAGTTTTAATTGTTAGGTTTTAAAAATTTCAAATTTTAAGTTGGAACATTTTTCTGTCTTTTATTCTTGCTCTCTGACCAAACAATCTGTGTATCTTTTGTGTGACTGATTCAATATTTAAGTCACCAACTCTAATTTATACTTTCTTCTGTCTTTACATGATTCATTTTGAAATCATTCAGTTTGGTTAATCAAAAAAGCAGTCAGCTATCCTGTTTCTCCCTCTGACATTCACAGAATGGCTGCGGCATGTTCAGTCTTTATCTCTGCGTCACTTACTGAACAGCAATTCATCTACTGCCATTCCCCGCCTGCACTTTCTTTTAGACATACATGTTGTTCATTTTTAGGTTCTTACTTTCCAATTCTTCTTAAATGCCTCAGTTGAAGCTCCGTCTACCACAGTCCCAGCCTGTTTAATTCAGATTGCAACCACTCACTGGGTAGAAATATTTTTCTTCCAGTTTCTACTGCTTTTTGGTTTGCTGATTATCTTTAATCTGTGACCCCTCATTCTTGGTCCTTGCATCAATGGAACATTTTATGCCTATTTACTCTCTATCTAGGTCAATCATGATTTTGTATACCATTATCAAATCTCCTTTCAATCTTCTATATTATATATATATATATATATAAAACAATGTTTGAACATCTCCAATCTCGTATTATAAATAACTGAAGTTCCTTGTCTTGGAACCATTTTTGTGATTTTTTTCGGTACTCTAATGCCTTTTCACTACACTTTCAAACCTAAGGTCGTCACCAGGCTTCACATGTATTCTCATCATTTCATCTAACTTCATTTTGGCGAAGACAGCAAATTTTAGGTTAATATCTATGCAACCTTACAGATAGTCAAACCTATGAAGGGTAGCCTCAACTCCATTTTAATATTCCTTCTTCAGATGGCACATCTGTAATAGGATTCTGGAGCTTTCTTCTTACTGACATCTAAATAGTTTAAGAGGAAATGCACGGGTTTTCCACACTCTCAACTTCCAGCATTTTCTTTTTCTGGATGTTTTTGTCTTAAGCCACTGAGAACATTTTCTCCAGTCCTGACTTTTTGGAAACTGCTAAAATAACAGTTTCTGTTCATTGTGACTGACTTTGCATACACTCCCTGACCTTCTGAATGGTTCTGCCATTCTGTGACAATGGATTATTGTCACTAAGCAACAACTGCTCACCTCAAATTCTACTCCAAGAGTGTAAACTTTTATTAAAAATGAATGTATTAACAAACATCAGTCACCCCATCACCACTCACAGCACAAATCTGAAATGAAGTTAAAACCATCTCTCTATCTTAATACACATGGCATGAAATACAAATTAACTTAGCATTATTCAGGTTCTGTCTACTTTAGAACACAAGTTTCCAAACAATAACATATCTTAAACCATCATCACACTGTTTTAAATGACAGTAGCTGTGAGATTGGCTGTGAAACCTCCAATAAATTACTGCTATCAGACAACCAATATGAAATATTTCTGTTCAATAGTCTCAAAAAAACAAGACAATTGAAAAAAAAATCGGTTGAAATAATTTAAGTAGAAATTGAGTAGTAAGCTCTTATGCTTCATTTTGCAACACTCAAAAGCATATTTCAAATGGAAAGAGTATACTTTAATTTTCTGTTCCTGTCAGGCAGTGCTATGAAGCTGATATAGTAGGAACTGCCGATGCTGGAGAATCTGAGATAACAAGGTGTAGAGCTGGATGAACACAGCAGGCCAAGCAGCATCAGAGGAGCAGGAAAGCTGACGTTTCGGGTCGAAGGGTCTCGACCCGAAAC